ATCAGCCAGAAAGCATAGGAACTGAGAAGTGGTCTGTGGTCACCACCTGCAGAACCACTCCTTTATTGGGGATGTTTTGCTAACTGCCTATGCTTTCCACCTGTTGTCTATTCCATTTGCACAACAGCATGTGAAATTGATTGTCAGTCAGCGTTGCTACCTAAGTGGACAGTTTGATTTCACAGCAATGTGATTGACTTGGAGTTACATTGTGTTGTTTAAGTGTTCCCTTTATTTTTTTGAGCAGTGTATATATACTGTTTTTGCTATGTTTTTAGAATTTTTCTTTTTACATTTTTAAGGGGAAGTACCAAGCAGAGTCTGAATGATGAGATTTACAGGATATAAAATAGATATTAGAAATTTGAATGTTATAATTTTAGAATGCACAAATTCAATGTTTAATGAGATTTCATATGATAATAATAAGATTTAAATGTGTTGCACTTTGATTGGCAATCATAGGGAGAATTTTGCTTCTTCAGAATGTTGGAAGAGAACATATGGAATTGTATAAGTACAATGAATAAAAGGATATAGAAATTTAGGTAAAAGAAATACAATTGAATAAGAAGAAAATGAGATAACCATAAAAGAAAATTAAGAGAAGTAAAGGGAGAAATAGTGAGAAGTTGGAAAAAGAGTAATAAGAAATGAAGTTGAATACATAAGATGAATATGCATATGAAATTGTGTCTGTATGGAAATGTGATAACCCAGAACATCAAATAAGATTTTTTATTTGTTTTGTTAAAACTCAATAAAACTTTACTAAAAAAAAAAAAACTTCTTCTATTCCAATTCAGATTTAACAGATAATCAGAGTTGGAAGGGACCTTGTAGGTCATCTAGTCCAACCCCCCACCCAAGCGGGAGACCTTTCACCATTGCTGACAAATGGCAGTCCAATCTCTTCTTGAAAGTCTCAAGTGATGGCGCTCCCACAACTTCCGAGAGCAAGCTGTTCCATTAGTTGATTGTTCTCACTGTCAGAAAGTTTCTCCTTATTTCCAGGTTAAATCTCTTCTTGTTCAGTTTCCATCCATTATTCCTTGTCTGGCCTACAGGTGCTTTAGAAAATAGCTTCAACCATTCAGTTCAACCATTAATGTTAATTAAAATCTTCCATTAATATTAATTAACATCTTTAACATTTCTTTTCAATTAAATATCATACTTCCTTAGGAACACTTATAATATTTCCATACATTTTTTCATATTTCTTTCATATTTCTCTTCACTTAAATTTTTATAAATCATTCATAACAATTAAAATGTTCCCATCCTTTCCTAATTTCATCCTCTCATTCTCTTTATTTCATTTATTTATTAACAAACCTTAAATTACATTACAATAAGTATTTTATCTATCACTTTTATCACACTTGTTTCATATTTTCTATGTTCATTTCTATTTCTAACGTAACAACGCTATCTTATGTACCCTTGCAAAATCTTCTCTTTCAATAAAATTTTCACCCATTGTCTGTATGTCTTCTAAATAAGCTTATACCTTTAATCCTTGTACGTTTTCCCTGTTTCTCTATATCCTGTTTCTGTCCTTTATAACTTCTTTTCTTTTCCTTCTTTCCCCTCTTCTTCTCCCTCCCCCTTTTGACCCCTTGTCTCTCTATTTCTAATTCTCTCTTCTGTAATCCTCTCTCCTAATTGCTTTTCAAACTGTTCTTTTTTTGGTTGTTTTTTCAGATCTTAAATTTTTCACTCTCTTTCCCCCCTTTCCTTCCCCCCCCCACATAGAATTACTTGGTCATTAAAGATGGCTTCTTCAGTGCCCCGCCCTTCTTGTTCTGGAAGCATTTCTTGTTGTTTCTCATAGTTCAAGATCTCCATTTCTAAGAATTGAAATACGAAGCCAAAAAAACCTCTTCCTTCTTGTGCATCTTCTTTCTGTTTTTTAAGTTCCATTTTCAGTTCTTCCAAGAGTGATGCCATTTTAAACACCTTTAAACAACCACCCGATTGATTTTAGTCATTTAAATCCAATAACCAAAAATAAAAAATCACCAAATAATCCAAAACTGTTTCTTCTTGCTTCTTTTTTCCACTTTCTCTTCCTGGGGTTCTATTTATCTTGTTACAAAGTTTCAGTTAATATCTTTCAGTTCATATCTTTTAGGAATCTTGTGAAAGTTTCACTGTTATTTCCTTTTACTTCCAGGTGGCCTCCTCCAGTTTTCCAGATCCCACCCTTTTATTTTTTCCTTTTCTCTCCTTTCCTTCTTTTAAGTTTTTAAATATCCAAGAATCTTTATTATCCCTTTGACATTTTATTTTCAGCTTAAATGCCTATTATCAATTTCTTACTTAAGTCTCTTAGTTATCAATATGGGGAAGGAAAAAAACCCCAAATCTTTCCCTTTTCCTCTCTCCTTTGTCGTTTCAAAAATCTTCTTTGGGAACAAGTTATTCTTTGTAGTTCGAGTTCTAGGGTACCTTATGTTGTTGCTTTTTCAGTTCAACCTGGTCAGTCAAAACTTTCTCTACTTATCTTCCTCCTGCACAATCTTTTCTGGTTGGTTTCTTTTTTGAGGTAGTCATTTCTGACCACTGCTGCAACTGCCTTTGGGAAAGGGAGTAATGGCCAGCTGAGGAGGAGAGATGCAGCTCTCCTTGACCATGATGGTGGTCTCCTCCCTCTTCACCACTTCTACAGGGTGCTTTGCCCCGAATCCAGCCAGCTTGGGGTGCTCCAGCAGCAAGCACGGATCAAAACCGTGCACAATCACGGATTTCAGTCCGTCACCGAAGAAGCTCAAACTGGAAGTCTGCCTTCAACTTTTATGATTCTTTGTGGCAAATTATTAGGAAGCACTGAAATATCTACTATGGTCATAATGCTATACTTCGTGTACAACCAGAAGGTTGGGGGACATTTCTATTTTATTTAAGCAAAAATGTTAATAATAATAATAATAATAATAATAATAATAATAATAATAATAATAACAACAACAACAACAACAACAACAATAAGGTTCTGGAGAATGAAAAAGTCAAGATCTTGTGGGACTTCAGAATTCAGACGGACAGGCATTTGGCCCACAACACACTTGACATAACAATAGTTGAGAAGAAAAGGGTTTGGTTCATTGACATTGCAATACCTGGTGATGCACGAACTGTAGACATGCAGCAAGAAAAATTATCAAGTATTTAATCAAAATATATACAAAGTATCGGGACTTATAAATTGAAGTTGAGCGACTTTGGAAAAAGAAAGCATGTGTTATCCCAATTGTAATTGGAGCCCTTGGAGCAATACCTAAAGGGCTGCCTTGGTATTTGGAAATCCTGAATTTATCAGACTTGAATACCCTGATTCTACAAAAAACCACCCTACTTGGAACAGCTTATATCCTCTGATGCTACCTGAACAGTTCCTAAGTCCTTGGTTAGGACTCGAGCTGGTGAGCTACCAACTAGCCCCAAAGGCTGTGAATCTCAATCAATCAATCAATAATAATGCCTTTATTGTCATTGTACATTGTACATGTATACAATGAAATTGGTTTAGCTTCTACTAGTGCAATCCATAACAGAAAATACAAGACAACATGATTAGTACAGAAAATAATCCTTATACAAGTAATTGGGAAAGGAAAAAGAACTAGTCATACGTTTCTATGTGGAGTAATTGTGATTGTATTTAAGAGCCTGTCAGCTCATGGGTAGAAGCTATTTTTAAATTGGTTAATCCGGATAGGATTATAAACAGAATTAGGTCCATGGAGTCCTTGCACTTGAGACATTTAAGGAATACTGGTGGGTGTTCTCAGAATTCAGCAAAATATCCTAAAAGAAGGCAGGATTAAACCTTTCTTGCATGGAGTCAGGAAAATTATAGCATGCCTGGAGTCACTTAGAAAAACTACAATCTGCCTGGAATCACCGGGACATGAGAGCTTCCTTTTTCTCGGCCAGTAGCTCTGCATCCCTTTCCCGAGATCTACTGACTCTGCAATCAGATCCCACTGTTTTCCAGTGAAGCCAAACATTTGAGCCGTAGATGAACAATGTCAGGGCTCAGAGCCATCATAGGTTTCTCTATGGTAGAGAATGGTTTTTCGTATGGAGCAGTTTAACAACATTCAGATGGATTACAGGAAATCCTCGATTTACAACCATAGTGGCCATTCAAAGTTACACTGAAAATAAGTGGTTTAATTAATCCCCATGGTCACATGATCAAAATTCAGATGCTTGGCAACTGGCATGTACTTATGAAAGCTGTGGTGTCCCAGGGTCACATGATTATCTTCTGCAATCTTCTGAGAAGCAAAGTCAATGGGGGAAGCCAGATTCACTCAACAGCTGTATTACTAACTCAATCACTATAGTGATTCATTTAACAAAGGTGGCAAGAAATGTCATACAAATGGGGTAAAACAACTGTCTTGCTTAGCAATGGAAATTTTGGGCTCAATTGTGTTCATAAGTCCAGGGCTATCTGTACATCCCTAGTTTGTACAAAATACAACTCCCTGTTTTGTGTATGGAGTCTTTCTTTTATGAATTACTATTATAGAAAGATACACAAGAAATCCACTCTGTTGGTACCTTCTGATCGCTCATGAACACCTGGAGAAAAGGATCTTGTGGGAAGCTAAAATCAGAGGCGGTTTTATGCATAAAACCTAAATTTGCACAAGTTTCCTCAGCTGAAAGCAACAATGAACAGACATTAGCCTTCAAAATACCTTGTTGTAAATATCTTTATTGGCATCTCACTGTAAAATGTGTTACATATGTGCTTTATAAAAATGAATAGCATTCCCTAGAGATTCCCCTATACACAATTTAAAATTTCATTTCTAGAGAATTTATGAGAAAACTGTTTTGGAATGTTCGGTTACATAAATTAATGATGACAGGTTTTTGTATGTAAAACATTTATGAGAGCTAAAAGACCATGATAGAAAAACATTTAAACTTAAGTTTAAAAAACTCTATTTTGCTGTTTACTGGGAACCATGTGTTCATACATAATTAAAAAAAAATAGTCTGCTTCATCTATTTTGTCTTCATAGTATTGGCTTTGACTTAATATATATCAGATGGATCTATTTACTTAGTGTAAATAGCTTAGTGTAACATCCAGTGAGATAAAATAGTTCTTTAGGTTAAGTACAGTGGATGAAATCAAACATTACATTAGCAGATATCTATCCAGGTGACATAGTTTCTGTTCTGCAGGTTAAGGGATCACAGGAGGAATTGGAATTGTCTCAAGTTCTAGCTCTGCTGACAGATTTATATTAAATCTGCTACTCAGCACCTGTTGACATGGTATTTTTTGCCGAGATCATGTTCTGGGTAGGATTGTGTATAGATTTTAGAGCTGCTGTTCCTTCCCTGTTTCAATATTACCCTGTTTTGTTTGTTTGCTTGTTTTGTTTTTACAATACATACATTTAGCTTTCAACCTGTTCAACACTCACAAACCTGAAACATAGTAGTATTAATTGTTCCATTTCTTAGATGAAGCACACATTTTATGGCATTAATTGATCCTTGAGGCAGACTAAACCTTGTTCTGAAACAAGTAGTTTTCCAGAGGGCAGATCCTGTACTGGGTGATTGAATCTTGGGAGAGAAAGGAAGAATGCGATTTAGAATGGGCACTGAATCAATAGATTCACAACTTTTACAAGATAGCAGTTGCACTAATACTTAAAGTATTACTGCTCAATAATATTTTATTTGAAGCATTGATTTCTGCTTTATTCAATCCAGAAAAAGGTGGATTGCCTTTTAAAGTCTTCCTGCTGTTAAACCCGCTGGTTGAGTTTTCAACAGAACAGAAAACAAACAGATTTTAAATGTCTAGACGTTTCAATTTTAGCAATAAGTTGAGAAAAAAAAAATCATGCTCCAAACAGTTAACACAGGAATGTCACCAGTTCAAAGCAGCTTTATCTGGAGATCTTTCCATTCAGAAGGTGTTGTAATTTATCTTGTTAAGGATAAGAGACAAGACATTTACTTCACTGAGGCATTTTATGTTAGCTCACAGACTTCTCTTAACCTTTTTTAGCACTCACAAAAGTGATACTCCTTCCCACCCACAAAGATCTGAACATTCTTAGTAAATAATACCACTTCACACATAGTTTTGTCTTTCATTTGTGGATAAGGCAAATTTTGGCATGGACACTGCCTTTTTGCCTCCGTTTAAAATCAAGACACAAGACTAACGGTTAACTGAAAGTACGGTTTGGTTCTTTTTGCGTGCTAATGAATTTGGCTTGCATGTCAAAGGAGATCCAGATTCAAATAGCTGCAATTATCCCAATTTGAACATTCCTTTTTCTCCACTGAGAGGAGAAAGTGCAAAAAATCGCAATCCATTCATGAACTCCATGTACACAAAAAATGGAGGTGGGCAGAGTAAGTAGCCACAGGGGAAGACACTCCCAATTCAGACACAATAATTCAGTCATGTAATCAGTTTCCTGTAAAAGCAATTCCAGGCTCTTCTTGGCCATGTGTATAAGCAGTGCAGAACTTCAGTGGGGCATTTCACCGTGACAAGTTTAATCAAAATGCCCCTCTGGAGCAACACTCTCTTTTCAAGTGTGGTTTCACAGCAGCCATACCGCTAGATTGCTAAACAGAACTTCTGTGCTGATGCAGAACATCATACTTTCCTAGTGACGTAACTCCTTGGTGATTTGGACAAATGTAACTAGAAATCAAATCTTCACTATCTCAGGGAAAGAAGCCATTGCAATCACTTGTCAGTCAGTGACAGTGGAAGAGGTGGCACAGAACTTATATCTTATTTCTGCTTCAGATCCTTTGTACTCTCTTTCTTTCTCTTTCCCTGCATAGAGAGGCTTTTGCCATCTGTTTCTCATGCTTCCTTGAACCATAAGTTGAAGGCAGTTACATGTTTACATTCTCTACATTCCTGCACTGAGAATCTCTCTGGGAATCTCCTGCACTAACGCAACCTTGAGACAGAAGTCCTTTTCTATCTCAGCGTAGTGGCCACTCAAACCAGCTTTGCTTCACTTGGACACTTTGCTCCAGGGCATTGAGGTGGACCAATTTTCAAGTCAAGGCAATGCGTCAAGATTTGAAGCTTGGGAACATCTGGAACGACCCTACTTGTTTAGACTTAAAATCTATGGGTGACATGGGAAATTCTAGAGTAAGTTTAAATTGCACAAGGAAACAGACTGTAATTTGCCTGATTATGGGAGCAGAGAATAATATAATAAAAAAATTTATTACCTATATATCTATATACAACTTAATTGTACACACATAGAATAATTGGCCACAGACATATGCTCAGTAGGGTCCACCTAACACTTCCCTTCTTTATCTGACAATACAGGCTTGAAATCTGCTGTAGGGATATATGGGAAAAGGTGTAAAGGAAAGGGAATGTGAAGTTCAAGAAAAAAAGAAGGGAAAGCTACACTGCACAGTGACAGATTTACTTCTGCAACATTGGAAGCCATGAAATTTCTTGTGCATGGGAGAAACAGGGTTGAGAATAGCAACAGGTTTTACATGCTAATGTTAATGTTGGTTAAGGCTGTAGGGGCCCATACATTGATTTTTGGAAACATAATCCTGAGATTAAGATAATTCCCACCCCTAGGCAAAAGAAAAGAAAACCCTCAAACATACTCCTCACCCCCAAAATCTCTTTTCCTGTATGTCATTAATCTTAGGAAACCTAAGATGACCCATTTTAAAGATTAATTATTTTGGAGAAAAATAGTCTTCCTTTCAGAGAAAAAATGTAAGAGTGTAAAAGTTATATTTTAGAACACATACAAGTTACATTTTAGAAAGTAAAAATGTGATCTCTTACCTATAATCCATTTTTCTGATAAACATTGCATATCCACATACTTTCCAACTTTGCACTGTCCAATACAAATTTTAGCTTGACGGAGAGTTTTACATATTTTTCCTCCACAAAGCTGTACCAGCTCACAGAGCTTCTGATAGGGGGGCTGACTTGTGCGAGATATGAACATTATAGGTTGATTGGCAAAGAGTTTTTGATACACGTTTTGTTTTAGAATATTGTGCTGAAAGCGGGAAATCTGTTTGAAAAAGGGAAAATAAATAAGTAAATGAATAAATATAATGTCACTACAGGATGAAGCATTTAGTTTTGGAAACATATTGCTATGTTTCACAATTTGCTTGCAAACAATTTTTCTATTAGAATACCTGCTGCTTAAAATTTAGTGTACAGTTATAATAAACTCTCAAACATGACACCAAAAAAGATCAATGTTATAGACTTTAATGTTAAAATAATATCAGAATGTTCTGGATGTTTATAAATTATTACTTCTATATTTGTTTTATTATTTATCTATTATATTGATAATAAAGCCAGATGTGATTTCCACTGCAATGAGAGTTTAAATTAAGTTTATTTTTTAAATTGTTATGCCTTTATTTTTTTTATCAACACAACTATATGGAAAGAAAACATCTAGTTGCATAATGAAACATTGCAGACTCAATAGCCTTAAATCTGAAACATACACTTACTGCATCAAACCATTTTCTGTGGTTGAAAAATATATTGAATCACAAACTAGAGCAGGAGGATGGGTTTACACAGAGCATTAAATCACAAATAACCCAGATTTAAAACAACCAAGTTTCATAATCACTAAGTCTTGAAATAGGTAGTTAAGCATATTGCCTAAGTACAGCCATTTTTAGGTTTCTAAAAATGGCTGTACTTTACAGAACATGGCCCACAAATTTGTCTCTTCATATTTCGGGGGGGTGGGGAGAGGGAAGATAATGGCACTAATACTGAAGGGGTCTAGTGACCAGGATGGAGTAGCCTTCCAGAAGCTAAGCAGGTCTGGCCTCTAGTTGGGTGACATATGGAAGCCTTATGTGACATGGCCTATGTGACATGCTCTTGGATGGAAGAAAGACAGGATATGAACCAGCAAAATGCCATCAGAATTCACAAAACAGGAAGTGAGTCAACTTTTTCAGGAGTCACAAGACTTGTTTACATTCAGTTATTGTGCAGCAAAGTAAAAGAAGTTGGAATTTGATATAAACTGTGAATAATAACATAAGATATGCTGTACTTCTTTTCCAAAAAGGCAACTCATAAATCTTTATAGCTTTATCTTGGCATTCTATCCATCTAGCATATCAGTTAATGTACTGTATCTGAGAGAGGAGAAACATCGAGTTCACATCAACATTTGACTGTTGAACAGTAGATGATTTTGGCTTTGTCACTGTCTTTTAAACCAACACAGGGTTGTGGTGTTGGTTGTTCAGATAAAATGAAGTATCTCTCACCAAGTGCACTAATCTGTGCTTTTGGAAAAGAAGCAAGATATAAAAGCAACATTGAAATAAAAATGACTGTTGGCTTGTTGAAGAATTTAGTGACTGCTTGAAGGCACTGAAAAAAGTGGCTTATATGACAATTTTTCACACTTATGATCCTTGAAGCATCAATTTGGGCCTCAACTCTGGTCATAAATCGAGAACTACCTGTATAGTGAACAGATTGCCATTTTAAATTTGCAGCTGTTGTTTGGACATCAGAGTTTCCTTCCCCTCCAAGACAGCTGTGGATGGGAAAGGGAAAAAGAAAAGTCTCTGAGTGTGGAAAAAAATTAGGGCCTTGGGAAAAAGGTGGCTGGCCTCTGTCGAAGTCTTGCAAGTCAAAAGAGAAACTTCTGTGGCCAATTAGGCCCACAAGCTATTTCTTCCCCATGCTGAGCCAAATATTCTAGCTCACATGTACTGTTTTTTAATGTTAGAAGTACCTCAGGATATATATGAGACAAACTTCTCATATAACCCCAAATAGCTTATTTATTTTATTTTATTTTTACTAATCTCTCATGCCACCCATTTAGGTTAACAAGTAAAGTCCAAATGAAGAAAAACAATCTCCATGGGACATAAATCTAGCCTTACCATATCTAAAATTAATAATCAAACCCAGTTTTAAAAGACCTTGTGCTAAAATTGTCCTGTCGTGGTTGATAGTGTGGAGTTCTAAAGTTTCTAATCTGAAGCTGATTAGAACTGACAAACTCTGTTTATGTCAGATCCATCAGAGTCTGCATTTGTTAGAAAGAGCCTACGTTAAGCTTTAACTTGATTGTAATCCTGCTGTTTTACATATTTTTGAGAGACATGATTTAAAGAATTTATTGTACTCCTGTTTGTTCAGCATTGTTCCTTAAAGCTTATAATTGCTGAGGCCATAAAGAAAAGCCATTCTGTGCTCACTGTGGTTTCTATTATATTAGAAATGAGTCTAAATTGACAAGAGAACTATATGGAAAAAAGGCTGCTATTTTATAGGTTTACAACAATCAAAATCAGCCAAAAACTGAAACGTTCAAACTGTGGAGGCCAAGTTATGTGTTATACTTTGAAATGTGTTATTTTATCTTACTATAACAAATAAAACTTGGATTATGAATAGAAAATCTGAGGTTGTTGAACTTCTTTCCAAATGCAGTGTAGATAAGGGCTATTTTTGTATTTTTTTTCAGTTTGTACAGAAATCATTCAAATGTAAACATATAATATGTACTTGATTTTACAAAAGATCATATTGTAAAATCAATGGAATGAGATCTGAATAATATATTTGAATTTAGGACTGGCTATTATATTAGCAGCAATTGTTCCATTGGGAATATATGTAGAGAACTCTACATTTTCATGAAAATCTGCAGCTGGAAAGGAAGCTATTTTTGGGGCTTTCCATATCCTTCATTGTGCTTACTTTGTACCTCCAAAGATATTTATGAAATCCACAGGTGTTTTCTCAGAGGTACTACCACCATCTATTCAAATACACTGATAAATTCATTGATATTAGTTCAGTGGCCCCCAACTTTTTGGGAACCCAGAACTGGTTCTATTGGAGAGAGGTTTTTCCATGGACCGGAGGTGATGTGGTTTCATGTGCTACCTGCATCCCGCAGATGAGCCTTTACTTGTTTGCATGGCCCAGTTTCTGGCATGCTGTGGACTGGTGCCAATCCACAGACCGGGAGTTGGGGATCCCTGATATAAATAATGGAAGGTAGTATCCAATGTTATTAATATGTCCTGTTTCCATAAAAGGAAAGATAAAAGTTTCCTCTGTCCAGTCGTGTCTGACTCTAGGGTGCTTATCTCCGTTTCTTAGCTCAGGGGGCTAGTGTTGTCCAAAGAACATCTGTGGTCATGTGTCCAGCATAACTATATGCCAAGGTGCATGGAGTGCTGTTATTTTCCTACCGAAGTGGGATCTATTGATCTACACAATTTCCATGCTTTTGAACTGCTAGGTGGGCAGGAGCTGGAGCAAGTAATGGGAGTTCCCTCCATCATGCAGCACTCAGGTCTTAAACCCTAGCGGTCAGCTTTCCAGTTGACAAACTCAGGGTCTTTAACTGCTGAGCCATTGCACCCCATTTTTTCATAAAAGTTCATATAATTTGGGATTTCAGACATACATACTGACTCAGGATTATTTCAGACATACATACTGACAAGCAACTTGAACAAGAAACTAGAGCTCTCAGAACTGATTGCACTACAACATCCAGTCCAAAATAGTGTTCTGACCCAAATCTTGTTCCAAGGAAACAAACACGAAAGAGATAACAGAAAAACCTTTTAATGAATCTTTATGAATTCTGGTTCTTCATGATTAAAAGGCTGTTTCAAATTAATTATCTCTGATAAGAACAAGCATTGCAAAGGTGGTGCAAGGCTGCCAAGAACACTAGATAAAGTTACTAAGAAATATTTCAAACACAAAGAGTCTCCAAACACCAACCAAGATATTCCAAATGTCCACAAGGCTTGAGTGCAAAAACTTATTTGTTTCCTGCAAAGAACTCCGGTTTCTCAGCTGGCTTTTATCTCTCGAGGGAGGGCCTTACTCCCGAGTCATCGCGCTGCTGCAGCTGCTCTTTCCTTTGAGCAGCCCTGCGCACACATGCACAGACTCCTCAGGAACCTCTTCATCACTGCTGCCATCTTCCACAATCTCCTAAGGCAGCATTTTACTCCCCATCCCTGCATTACACACAGGCCCCTCATCTGAGACCTCGCTCTCTGAGACCTCAACAGTCTGCACCTGCTGCCGGCGAACCACAACAAATAGAGAATCAATACTTTCTTGCACATATAGTTTTGTTTTAGAAATAAACAGTACAATAGTATAGTGAAATCCAACAGGCTCCATCCACAAACAGAAAAAACATCCACAAACATCTGCTGTTTTCTATAGATTTCTTGTCTTACCTGTTGCCCAATAACTGAAGGAGTTGAAAATCCCAACCAGCTCTATCTTTAAGGCAGTAAACCAACTACCTGTCAGGTGCTTGGATCCTCTTTCTAGCTTCATTTAAGCTGTTCGGCTCTCTCATTTATGAAAAAGATAAAGAACATGGCGGCACTTCCAACATTTGATGACTAGCATCCCAACCCACTTCATCTTGTTGCTTGCCTCATCCCTTTGTAGGCATTCTCCACCATGCTGCTTCAAGAGTCCAGCAGTGGGATATGACTCCACCCTCTGATGTCATCGAGCTGAGTCTGCCACTATAAAAAGCCAGACTCTGCTGAGAGCCCCAGCTTTTTGACTCAGCTCTTTGACATTAAGAGCTAGTGTCTCTGGACTCTAGGCTAGTTAAAAAGCAGTCAATGGACCAAATCAACAGATCTCTACAAAAAAAGCCTCAATACCATCAGCGCAGCTACTGGGCTCTGGTATAGCTGCGCCTGCAAGGAGAGCAGCGATCCGCTCTCCTTCGCCGATCAGCATCCGACCTGGGCACTGATAACTCAACTGTAAGTGCGGTCTGGGAGAGAGCAGTGAAGAGCCTCCCACGCCTTTCCCTCAAAAAGTGCAGCTCATTAAGGGCTTTTTCGCCGGGAGACCTCCCACGCAGGTCTTCTGTGGTGTGCGTCTCCCGGAGTGCAATTTCCAAGCTGCAGGAGTGGAACCACAACAACAAATCAGTTGGCTCCCCCAAGGTAACTCAGTGGCGCTAGGCCATGATTATGATTGCACTCATCAGCTATGAGTCGG